TTTGTTTACCCGCATTAGAAATTAGACTTCTTCATCTTCAAATGTGATATTACTTTTGTAGGGGGTGTGAACATTAATTGAACATTTCCTAGGGGTGTGGGGCATAGAAAAGGTTGGGAACCACTGCTCTATATGGACAATAAAAGGGTTCACAATCACACATTTGACAGTATTAGCTCTGATTTGCAGACTTCTATACTATTCATATTGCTTGTCCAATTTGTCATTGGAACTCAATGATCAATGAGTCATTTAATAAAATAGGTTTCTATTCAGCTTGGAAAGAATGAAGAATCAAATTCAGTATGAAGTCATTTATTTGACTTGAATGTAAATAATTTTATTCATTGATAGCTAGACAAACATATAATCATTTAACAGTTTTCAGAGGTAGACATATTAGTTTACTACAGCAAATCCAACAGGGTGTCCTGTGACAAATGTATTGCAGTATACATTTTTGTGATCCACCAAAAAAATAAAAATACCACAAAATAGTACAGTGTAACACCACTAACCCCCCCCCCCCAAATCTAGCAAGATATTAAAAACTTGGGAAAATAAAGAAGGTCCTGTCTAGTACCAAAAATACATCAAAATGGAGATGAGACAAGCCTCCTTGGGGAGAAAATTCCAGAGTCAGGGAGCTGATGAAAATTGAAACAGAAAATGCTCTCTCATCAGTGCACAGACGGTCTGCTGGAATGCATCTAGTAAATGACTTTTAATAAGTAGAGTAAGACCTAGATACATTTTCATATTCTCTTTGCAATATCTCATTTTATAAATCACTGAAGCTCTTTGTTTAATAAGCTGGCAACTATAATATCATTCAGCAAAAATTCAAAATCATGCAGGTCTAAATACAATTGCTTAAAATAAGTTTCACTGAATTCAGTGGCTCTTACTTCCAAGATTGAAAGGTAAAATATCTATTTCTTTTTTTTCCAGGTGTTAAAAAATACATGATTGCTAAAAGTATTTTTTCCAAAACATCTCTCCTCTTAAAATACAGAACACTGAGGATTAGTGATCCACAAAGTACATTCTTCTGCAATAGACATTTTAATACATAATTGTGGAAACAGAAAAGGCAGTTTTGTTACAAAAATGTCTGCTTGCTTGCTAAACACACAATGATAAAATATAAAAGTGTAGCCACAGTACTATTTGGTTTAGATAAATTTAAATCTAAATTCTAATTATTCAACTTTCTACAATCTTGAGGACAATGGAATTTAAAGAAACTTGTTTTAAATAAAGGCACAGAAGCAGTGTTCAGAAAAGGTTTATTGCATTTGTTTCCCACATGGAAGCATTGACAGAATTGAAAAGATGCAGCATTCACATTATTTTCAAAATGAGACAAATTTATTGGCCTTTTAACCCCACTTCCCTTCCACTCCATGGCTTTGATTCAGTCTAAACAATACATCTGGGAGCATAGCTTATTTGCATTTCTATCTTTTTGAAGGTTTTTTTTTCCTGCAGATATTCTAATAGTTACCATCAGAATTTTTTAAATCCAAAATATGCAATGAAATCCCTGCCTATATCCCAAAGTGTTACAGACTCACTCAGTTTGGGTGTAATCTGTTCTACCTACTTTTTTTTTTTTTTTAACAGAATGCCTTCTACTCAGTCCTCATCTCCAAGCTCTTACTACGAATATAGTTTGCCATCCATGTAGTCATGAAAGAAGGCATGCATGATCTTTTAACACATGACAGTTCCAATTGTAAAATATATATGTATAGAGATAAAGCAGAACAAACATTTAAAGATATAAAAAGGTGGTAATGTTAAAGAAAATTAGAGGACAATGTTGACCTATCTACAGAAACATTTGGTGCTTAGGTTTTTACCTGGACTTGCAAGCCTCTTCTACACATGAACACTATTCATTAACCATCCCTCATTTTTTTTAACCAAGACAAACATTATCTTGCTATTCTACACATTTAAATAAACTTTTCATATTTCTTCAATTATAAGGCATTACAAACCACACATACTCACAACAACCTTCATTCATGTAACCAATGGTGACAATAATTCCTGCTGTCCAAAAAGATATGGTACGAAACAGTGCAAGAAAGAAGAATTCTGTAGCTCTCCAAAATACAGTAGTGTTGGCAACATGTTTTAAAGATTAAAGGCGAAGCAAAATTATTAACTGGCCCTCCTGCTGAGCCATATTTTCTCTTCCATTACTTCAGATATTACGTGAGGCTTTAACTCAGGTGCATACAAAATACCACAACACAAAAAAACCTAACCCCCAGCTAAAAAGGTTCTCTGCCATGAAGAAATCCATGAATGCCCATACAAGAAGATGATGCTGCTGGCACGGGCTGTCGTTCAGTGGTTGTGTAAATTCTACTCAGTTAATATAAGTGGGCAGAGAGAGAAGAGTTTCCCCTTTACATTAGTTATGTCAGCAAGCAGACAGGGAAAAAATAGGCCAGTCAAGTTATTAAGTAAAAAAAAAGAAGAAAACGCTTCAGCCAGAGATGAAGAATTACCAAAGTTTTCAGAATACAGACCTGCTTTTTCCCCCCTCATCTTTTCTCTGCAATTATCAGCCCTTTTACAGGCATTTTTTTAAAGAAAAGATTTTGTTTTTTTTTCATTTGAAACATTCATGTGTAATAGCCATAGTGCCGCAAATGCAGTTTTGTTTGGGTGGAAATGTTGTTCACGAATTCTTAGACCACATACTGATATGGGTCGGCTTTTCCTTGGTCTGGAGTAGCAAATGGGCTAAGCCAAACTATAGAGAACGGATGGCCGAATACTGCTTTCATGTTCATCCATTTTGTTTTTTTAGCCCATCTTCTCTCTTCTTTTTTCAATTGTTCTATTCCCTGAAAACAGAAATATGACATTTTCAGGCAGGAACTTATTTTTGTACTTCTGGTTTCGGGGAAAAGGTTCCCTCTTATCTATCCTTTATCAAATGGCTGGAGCAGGAAAATAGTAAGCTTTTCTAAACATATCCCTTTTTAAAAATTAACAAAGGCTGGGGGAAAAAAAGAAAACCAATAATGTAGAAATGAAGAGAAAATCACAGTTGCCGTGACAACTTTAGGAGTTGACATTAATGCTCTCCTCCCCAAAAATGCTTAACAAGCAATTATGTTTTTATTCAAATGGTTAATAAGGAAACATATATTTTCAGATTTAAGAAAAGCCTCAGCCATTGCTTTTGAAGTTCCATTTAATCATAAGCTTGTTTTCTGCAACCTGATGCCATTCAGATGCACTGAAACTTTAACTCCCCAAATTCCTCAGCTAGCATGGCAACTGACCAATTTATTCCAGAAGTTACAAACCCAGCACGTCTGGGGGGCACCTGGTTGGAGAAAGTTGTAATCGCTTGCCAGCAGAAGAAAGAATTGCAAGGTAATGCACCAGTATAGAAAAGTGTAAGACAAGAACAGTATTAGCTTAGGAAAAGTCAGAAGAAGAATCCATGTGAATCCTTCAAATGAGTTCCTAATACTTCAGTAACAAGTACCTACATCAGCATTAAAAATCAGTTATGGCTATAAAATGTCAAGCTACATTTTGATACTAGATATTTTTGGAAACTGATCCATTCTCCATTCTTTCAGATCAACTTTTCATACTAATGTTTAGAAATGAAGGAACAGCAGAGGCAGTTATATCATTGCTCTTGGTGAGTCAGCCTGGACATCAAATTAAATCAATATTTGCCTTAGCAGTGAATGGACAACTCAGATTACACTCACTGACTTCTCCCCAAAATGGGTGTTGCCAATAAACCTGATGGGTCTCCCCATGGATTGCTTAGCGCATTACTGTGTGAAACAGAACAAGACAGAGAAAGAAACACAAAGTAAATGGTGGCTCCTTTCTCTGGTTTGCTTGGAAAAACAAGCCAATCATCACTGATTGAGCTGCCCATAGTTTGTTAAATATGTCTACTCGTAAGAGGAGCCAGCAGCTGCAGAGTTGCACTGCTCACCCTCACATGCTGGTTAGTCATGTTACATTATAGTGTGATGTTCTACCTGAAACACTGCATTGAAGCCAATGCAGGCAATAAACTGAGAAACTCTGGGAAGAACACAATTCAGTCATATAATCACAGTGACGGGGGGAAGAGAACCACAAGTAATACAGTAAAGGGGATACCATATTGCCTCCTCCACCAGCATGCAAAACTTAATAGAGAGAAAAAATACAGGATACAGCCAGAAGATACAGTGTTCTGATAGAAGATAGTTTTAGTTGATCTCACAAAGAAAATATTTCTGTACACAATAATGGTTATGCCTTAGAAAGGTTAATAGGGGAGGTAACCTTCATTTTAAATCTTGAACAGAGACTAGACCTGGTGTGAGATATAGAAGATGCTTAACCATTTGAATGCTGAGCACAGATTTATCAAATATAACATTTCAATTTATAATAATAAAAAATCCAAAACAACTTTCCAAAAGAAATAATTTCCAAAAGAAATAATTTCTCAAAGAAGGACATTAATTAGAAAGGCTAATGGATAGGAGAAGCTCAAATTCTTCATGAAGCTGAGAAATGATATAAATACAGCACAGTTAAATAGCACACAAGAAGTTAGAGAAGGAAAACAAAAGAGCAAACTTTCTCAAATCAATTCAGTTTGAGGGAAGGGGGGAAAAACAGCATGAATTTGCAAAGCAGTGATCTGAAGAATAAATCAGTAATAGCATATCAATAAAAATATTCTTTGCTTTAAGGAACAGAAGTGAAGCTGGTGAGCTAGTAGGATTATTAGATGAGAAATGTGTAAAAAGCATTTCTGAAGGATGATAGGGAGGCTGCAGAAAGAGACAGAAAGACATTTTAAGCATACTGGAAACAAGTCCAAAACAGAAACTGGTCCTGAATGTAATTTTGCATAAGTTGTTATATGAAATATGTTACCTATCAATCTCATTATTAAAAGGACACATAGGGAAATCAGGAGATCACAAACCCATCAAATTAACGTTTGAGTTACAGTATTGAATTATTAAACAAACTGAGCAGGAAGCCATGCTGATTCATCCTCAGCATGTCTTTTGCTAAAACAGCCTTTAAGTTATTTCTGATTGTGAAGTAAATTCTGAGAGTTAAGAAGTATTATGTAATGGGATAATAAAGTAAATAATGGCTGTATTTAGACATAATAGTGAACCTTGGCTTGCCATTATGAGAAGTCATAAATGCCAAGCTTATTTACTTATTTATCTATCACTTGGCCTTACATGCTGCTCTAAGCAAACCGATTCTGAGTAGTTTACAAATCCTCCAATGCAGTTAAAAACAATAAAATAGTATAGATCAAATCTAAATAACCTCCCACCAATATGGCGCGCCTTTCTCAGGGGAGCAGGCCACCTACCATCCCATCCCCAAAGACCCTCTGGAAGAGCTGGATCTTAACAGCCTTCCAGAAGACTAGGAAGGATGGGAACAGGGTGTTGCAGAGGAGAGGGGGCCATCACTGAGAAGGCTCACTCTTGAGATCCCCTACTTCATCCTTTCATTCATCTCTGGATGAAATGGTATCAGAAGCTTCTGATATTAGTTCTCTAAATCACGTATGTAGTTGCTTTGCTATTAAGCTGCTTAGAGCCAGATCACTGAAGCAGCAGAAAAGTATTAATAATAAATAGCTAGATGAATAAATGTTTTTTGTTTGAACTCAGTAAACCTATACTTTACACAATGCAAAATCCAAGCCAGTATAAAACTATGGTTTGAGATCTTGGTTTATAGATCAGTGCTAGCTTGCAAACACAAATTTGCCAGCTCTATTTATTTATAAATTACTTCGATGCTTATATATTTATATAATCATAGACTACAACACAGAAAACTGGAACAAAAAATAAACTAAAATAAGCATATAAATATCAATATTTATAAAATGCAAAATCAAAGTATTTAAACATGTCTCAAATTTTAAAATATCTGTAATGTAAATATTGGGGCGGCGGTGTCAGTGCTATATTTCCCAACTACTGCACCAAATTTAGCTACTATTACACATATCCTAGCTTCTGGGCTAGAAAGTAAAAAGGAAGTGAGCAATGTTTCATCCCAAACAGGATGAAAGAAGCAGGACAATTAACAAACATTGAGCATCTTGGTATGTGCACAGCTTATGAGCACATCATCTACTGATTCTACAGCTCTGCAGTAGGGCAGATTTTGTTCCCCTACAGAATTTCCTATATTTTCCATACAGCACTACAATAAGTCTTGCTAATGACTTATATATACTAATACTTGCTAGTGTGCTGTTCTATGTATAGGAGTTATTAAGTATGGGAAGCTGGTTTAAGCAAGTCAGTTATTCTATCCAGATTGTAATAATTTGGTACCAAAGACACATTTATTTGGTGTTTCATATGTCTAACTTTCACTTTCATGCTTACTTTAGCATGATCAAGCCCTAAAGCCAAGGATGATTCTAGCGAAAAGTTATATGAGCAGAGATTAACCTCTAAATGGGAGTCCCATGGTAATTAGCAAGAAAGAATCTATTTAATTTAAACCAAAGGCTAAACATGGTAACTAAATCTTCATTGCAACCTTCAACAGTCTAATCTCCGATCTTAAAATGGCACTCCATATGTATATAATATCCATGTTATAATAAATATTTAAAAATTGGACTGGATCAGATCTAAGAGAGGGAAAGTAGAATACAACCTAAATCCTGTTCCACAGAGTAGCTGAGCACAGCCTTTAGCTTAAAGGAAGGCTACAGAAATATACTGGGCTCCTCCACTTTAAAAGAAACCCAGAATTGTGGCAATGGTCTACTGGACATTTTAGGATATGTTTGGTATGTTCTTTTTGGGCTGCAGAATAATGAAACAGTCTGATACAATACAGAAAATGATGTAGCGTATGTCTTGAACAACTTCCCCTCCATCATCCAGCAATTCATCCCTAGGCCAAAAAAAACAGGCCAATCTCTATGGCAACTAGTCCTTTTATGACTCAATAAATAGTTAAAAACAGTGGAAACAGAGCAGTGCTCAACTGAAGGTACATGAACAATAGGATCTGCTTTCTTAAAGGGACTATAGTCACATTTGAACTAGTTCCATTTGATTTTCCATATCTGAGTAGGATATGAGCAGTGATGTGGCTGAGGCTGTAACATGTGCCAGCTATTCTGTATGATCAAATGCAAAGCAGACAATTTTATGAATGATCTTTCCAATCTGGATGAACAGATAATACAGTGGCATTTCAAGAAACATTTGTGTAAAATGATACTAGGGGCAAAAAAATAATTCACTTCATTTATATACACACAGTGATGAGATTCTCAAACGCAACCAGGGAAACAATAAACTGTCAGCTCACTTTGCAGTGCAGTTCAATGTAAAGCTTTTGGAATCATAATAAAAGATGACGATGCCCTTGAGTTGAGTTCACCTCATGGTGACTGCATGTTTACTGATTATTTTGGCAAGAATGTGGACATAGTTTGCCACTGCCACCTTCTGGGAAGTCTAGTCCAAATCCCTGGGATTTTGGGGTAATCTTCCAAACAAATATTAACCATGTTTAACAGTTATTAAATTGTTTTGAGATAACTAAGATAGGTTAGATGCTGCCATCTGCCTTCATATAAAACTCAATGGTGTGGTCACATTCCAAATTTTGTGCATAGTTCTAGTATTCCCATCTCAAAAAAATAAAGCAGTGAAAAAACAAACAAACACTGAAATAGCCATAGTGAAGGGATACACATACACACACGCACATATATATACATATACGTACATACAAATGTACTATGCAAAGGCTAAAGAGTTTAAGGCATTTTAGTTCATGAAACAGATGAAATGAGAAGACAGACACAAGAGAGGTACAAACCATTCTCCAAAAATGGCAGCTTGTATGAGCATCTAAATTCAAAGTGTTGATTTAAAGGGACCTGCTGCAAACTATATCTTCTGCATAGACATGTTCAATTCTTTTGTTCTTTTGCCACATTCACCTCATGCAGAAGTGAGATGGATGATGAACTGTCCTCCTTAGATACGATACCCCAGCTGTGGAATGCCTTTTCTAACCTAGTACCAAACCTGGTGCTTTGGCACCAGGCAATGACTTTTTATGAGCTTTCACAGCTTCACAGAATGTAGTTCTGTTTTTTTTTTAATATAAAGATTTTCTGATTTCTATGCAAAATCATTTCTACTCCATTTTAACATAATATGCCATTCTCAGATTCTTTGGGCTGAAGTCTTCCTTATTAAATTTCCATAACAACTGTGAGCAATGCAGGCAACAAGCATCGATGAAGTACTGTAACTAAATCAAGACTCTCTCTGAGTACTGAATAGCGACTTTCTTCCACTGAGATTTCTCTTCCCTATTTAAAGTGCTGCTAATTTATTTCTCACTTTGGGCTATCAGCTGAAATCTTTCACTCTCTTTCTCCAACATGGATGTAAGTCCTCTTGTTTTCAATTTTTTTTTTTTGTCTGCACTCCGTCATTATTTACCCTGCAGTGTGTGCTTGAATGAGTCCTTTCAGT